CTACAAAGCAAGTTCCAGGACAGTCAGAACACAGAGAAAACCTGTTTTCAAAAACAAAAAATTAAAACAAAAAAAAATGAGTTAAAAAATGGAAAATATGGGCTGGAAAGATGGCAAAGGGGGTTAAGAGCACTGGTTATTCTTGCAGAGGACCCAGGTTCAATAACCAACACCCACATGATGGCTAACAGTGGCCTATAATTATAGTCCAGGGGATCCAATACTCTCCCCTGGTCTCCTAGCACACAAGGCAAACATGTGGTATACATACATGCTGACCAAACACCCATACACATAAAAATAAATAAATTTAAAAATGAAAATATAGCAGCACAGTTCAGCTGAGATCCATTTGGATGAGGACTCAGAAGCTTCCAGTCTGAGGAAACAGGATCAGCTGAGGAATTGGCAAGGTGAGGTAGCTGTGGCTTGTTCTGCTTCTCTGATCTTCCAGCATTCACCCCAATAACTGGCTCCAGGTTTGTTTTATTAATAAGTCCTTCTAACAATTCATGCTATACTCACTGGAGTGAAAACCTTTGCCTCAAAACAAAACAAAAAACAAACAAAAAATGAAAATATATCAATACAAACTTCTGCATTCTAACAGAAGAGTAAATCTGCATGTAATTTGTGAGAAACCACAAGCTAGGCACTGAGGTACTAGAGAAGCAGAGGCAGGAGATTTACTTCCAGTTTAAGGGCATCTCTGTCTCAAAGACACATTAGAGGGGCTGGAGAGGTCCCTCATTGGTTAAGAGCCCTTGTTTTTGCAGAGAACTAGGTTTGATTCCCAGCACCTACATGGTGGCTCACAGTTGTCCATACTCCAGTTCAAGGGGATCCAGTGCTCCCCTCTGGCCTCTGCAGCAGCAAGCACACACTGAGTGTACATATGTACGTGTAGGGAAAACACCAATATACATAAAATAAATCTAATAAAATTTTGTTTTTATTTTATGAATAAGAGTGTTTACCTGCGTGTGTGTGTGTGTGTGTGTGTGTGTGTGTGTGTGTGTGTGTGTGTGTGTGTATGTACCACAGGTGTCCAGGCCAGAAGAGGGAATCAGATTCCCTGGAATTTGAGTTACAAACAATTGTGAGCTGCCATGTGGGTGTTGGGAACAGAACATATGTCCTTTCCATGCACAGCAAAACAACCTTTCCAGCTCCAAAATAAATAAATCAATAAATATTAAAAAGAAAGCCAAACATAAACAAAAGAATGAACCACACTGGGTGGCGGTGGTGCACACCTTTAATCCCGGCACTTGGGAGGCAGAGGCAGGCAGATCTCTGTGAGTTCCAGACCAGCCTGGACTTCAGAGTGAGTTCCAGGAAAAGCTCCAGAGCTACACAGAGAAACCCTGTCTCAAAAAACCAAAACTAAAACCAAACAAAGTACCACAATGTATTCTTTTTTTTTTCTTTTTGCAAATTAGAAATCACAATCTATTTTATTCTTTTAGTGATTTTATTTTTATTTTTGGTGATGGTGATGGGGAAGACTGAAACAGGCCTTGAACTCCTCCTGCCTCAGCCTCCCAAGTGCTGGTATTACAGATGTATAACATCGTGCCCAGCTTTAGTTGATGCTTGCTTTTTGTTGTTTTGTTTTGTGCTTATTTGTTTGTTTTGGATTTTTAAGACAAGTTTTCACTCTGTCTTGAAACGCAGGTAAACACTCTTATTCATAAAATAAAAACAAGACATAGCTCTCACTGTCCTGGATCTTGCTCTGTAGATCAGGTTGGCCTCAAACTCAAAGAGGTCCACTTGCCTCAGTCTCCCCAGTGCTGGGATTAACAGTGTGTGCTACCACCACCTGCCTATCCTTGCTTTGTGTTAAACTGTTAATATGTATTAAATGGCAGAATGGGTAGCAAAAGTTGAAGGTATATTTATAGCAGGAAAACTTAAAATCCAGACCATGAACTGGTTTGTTTTTAATTTTGAGGCTGGGAAAAAAGAGCACCAACTGTTCTGACAGAGGACCAAGTTTGGTTCCTATCAACCCATATCAGGTACCTCATAACTGCCTGTAACTCCAGTTCCTGGGGCTTCTCTGTCTCTGGCCTCCATGGGTACTGTACTCACATGCAAATTATCCCCTCCACACATGTATACATAATTAAAATAATGAAAGTGTGTTTATTAATGTGTGGGGGTGTTTACATTGGCATGTATGTGCCACTCAGATGTGCCCAGGCTGTGTGTGGAAGTCAGAAGACAGCTCTGGAGTTGATTTTCTCTCTCCTCCACCTGCTTTTTATCTTCTGTGCTCTGTATCCGGGCTAGCTGGGTAATAAGCTTCTAGGAGGTTCTGTTGTCAATGCCTCCCCTTTCACTGGGGGTGTAGGAGGAGTTATAGATACCTATCACTGCCTCAGGGTGGTTTTTTTTCTTTTTCTTTTTTGGTTTCTCTGTGTAGTTTTGGTGCCTGTCCTGGATCTACTCTGTAGCCCAGGCTGGCCTCGAACTCACAGAGATCTGTCTGGCTCTGCCTCCTGAGTGATGGGATTAAAGGTGTGCCACACCACTGCCCAGTTTGTTTTGTTTTTGTTTGTTTTCAAAACAAAATTAGCTCCTGTGCCTTCTGGGGATTGAACTTCGGTCATCAGTCTTGTACTGCAAGGGCTTTTACCTACCATCTCAGTGGCTCTCATTTTTTTTTTTTTAATTAGGACAAAGGCAGGCACATTCTCGTGCTAGTGGAACCTCAAGAATCTGAGTGTTCTCACCTGTCAGTGGTGGCTCATGCCTTTAATCCCAGTACTTGGAGGCAGAGTTTGAGACCAGCCTGGCCTACAGAGCTAGTTCCAGGACAGCCAGAGCTACACAGAGAAACCCTGTCTTGAAAAACTTTAAAAAAAAAAAAAAAAGAAAGAAAGAAAGAAAAGAAGGAAAGAAAGAAAAAAGAAAGGAAGGAAGGAAGAAACTCAGTGTTCCCAAGTGTCATATAATGAATTGCTTTGCACTGATCTAACTAAATTTTGACTAGTTTTCCTGACATCTAAGGAGTCAATATAGATCATGAGTGAAGTACATATAAAAACATTGTTTATAGTGGATGTATACATTGCTTTCCTGGATTTTCTTTGCTATGGTATGATGGAATGCAGCTGGACCATCTTCTTAGACCACCATGGGTTCCAGTTCCTACCGCAGCGCAGGGCTCACCCCAAACTGCATCTTTCATTCTTTGCTGGTCTCACCATCGATCTGTATAGACACATAAGGTTCTTCTCAGGGCTGGAGAGATGGCTCAGTGGTTAAGAGCATTGGCTGCTCTTCCAAAAGCTCTGAGTTCAATTCCCAGCAACCATGTGGTGGTTCACAACCATCTGTAATGAGATCTGATGCCCTCTTCTGGAGTGCAGGCACACATGCAGATAGAACACTGTATACATAATAAATAAATAAATCTTTAAAAAAAAAAAAAAAGCTTCTTCTCATGACCCATGAGTCATATTCTAAGAACTGGAATGGCTACTCTGTAAGAGAGAACATGGGGGCTTGATAGGCTTGTGTTTTTATCCAGATAGGGCATTCTGTGATTCGGATGCAGACATGTTCAGGTTCCACAGGCTTAGCCTATGTACCTGCTTCCCACTGCAAAGCCTCACTCTGCTTGCAGGGCTAGAAGATGTTTCTGGTGTGTAGAAACCAGTGTTGCTTCAGTGTGGGGAAGAGCTTTCCAAAAGCAGCAGTTTTCTAATTTGATGGGTCTTTAGAATGACCCAGGGTTTAAAAAATACCACAGCTCAGGTCATCAAGGAGGCTCCACAGGTAAAGGTTCTTGTCTCCAAGCCTGATGACCTTAGTTCAGTCCCCAGAACCTATATAAAGGTGGAACCTACATATCCACCCCCAAACGGTACATACATGCATGCATCAGCACCTAGCTAGAAATGATGGCCCATATCCAAATTCCCAGCTACTTGGTGGCTAAGACAGGAAGCTGGAGGTCAGTCTGGCAACACAGAGAGACCTTGTTGCAAAAAAAGAAAAACCTATGCATCCTTCTATAAGTTCCTCAGTCCTTCCCAGCACTTAACACTATGCCCAGACTCTGGCAGAGGAGTGAGAATCAGTTTTCTTTTTTTTCCTTTTTTTCTCTCTCTCTTTCTTTCTTCTCCTCCCCCCCCCCAGACAGGGTTTCTCTTTTCTCTTTGTAACAGCCCTGGCTGTCCAGGAATTAGCTCTGTAGACCAGGCTGCCCTTGAACTCACAGAGATCCACCTGCCTCCTGAGTGCTGGGAGTAAAGGCAGGAGCCACCACTATCCAGCCCTGAATCAGTTTTCTTAACTGTAGACCTCAGGGCAGAGTTAATCAGGTATATGACAATCTGGTTTCACCCTATGGTGGGTTATTAAGATGCTTTCCCACAGTGGGGATGAGGGCTGTGAATTCTCCATAGCTCTGCCAACATCCACTGCTTGGTTTTGCTTTAGGGAAGCAGAATGGGGGCAGGTAGAAGTGTAGGAAGGAGTGAAGCATGTGATTACCCAGCTTCCTTGGAAGCTTGTGGACCCCCAGTCAACTCTGAGGGAATTCCCACTGTTCTCTTGATGGCGGCACAGTGCCCTCTGTAGACCTGCGTCCCTTGTGAGCGCTGTAGCAGTAACCAGAGATCGAGCCAATGCCAGTGTCTTCCGGTTGCCTTTTCTTCATTCCTTTGGTCTTTATTAAATTCATCAATCTTGGGTTGGCCGATGACTCAGCAGGTAAATGCACTCAACTCACAATCCTGATGATCTGTCCTCTGACTTCCATTAGAGTGCCATGGCATATCCCTCCATCACCCCCATCACACACACACAAAATTTTAAAAAAAAAATAGTTTTTTTAATTAAAATTAGCCATCTCTTTTCTGTCAGCAGAAATGGGTAATTTTGAAATGTTTATTCTGTCTGCATACATTAAAATATTCCACTTGAGATACTGACTTGATTTTAAAAAAACTAATATTAAAACCAAGTTTAATTGGACTTTGCAGGAAGAAGATGTTCAAAACTATAAGGAATCACCCCAGTAATGGATCTCTGTCCGGAAAGTGAGACTGTTGGAGAAAATAATGAAAGCAAGAAAATTGAAGACGCAGAAGAAACGGCAGTGACTTTAGGTTGTCCAGATGAGAGAAGGGAGAGGAATCATGTTTGCTGTCTTCTCGGGATCAGCGACCTCACGTTGGAAGAGGATGAACGGGCCAGCGAGTTTGCCATCAACACCGGGTGGGAAGAAGCCGTGAGTGTCTCCTTGGGTCTTCCTCACTTGGGTCTTTACCACAGGTCTTTTTCCAAAGTAGTTTATGTTACCAGAAATGTTGGAATGAATGTGGGAGCCTTGGGACAGAAGTGAAGTAGAGTGACAGGAGGGTGTACTCCTGGGCACACATGGCACATCTTTGCACGGACAGCTGAGCATTCAGTTATTCTTTCAGCATCTCAGTAGCCACCTGAGGCCTCCCTCTGTGAATGAGGATGCTGAGGCACCCAGTAGGTGAAATGCGGTACACAGAGATCATTCAACCAATAACTGGGCAGAGAGGGCTGGAATATTTCCAGCCCTGTGTTCAGTGCCTGGGAGACCCATAGGCTGTCTCCTCCTGTCTCTCTAGAGGCCTGTGGTCTCTCAGAGTCAGGAGTGGAAGCTGACATTTAAAACTGTAAGGCAAGTGCCTTGGTAGCGCAATTTCATCAGGAATGTGGGGCCTTATGACTTAGCTGGTTGAACTGTGGGCCAGCAAGATGGCTCAGCAGGTAGAGGCACCTGTAATACAAGCCTGGAGACCCGAGTTTGATCCCCAGAACCCACAGTTTTGTGGAAGGAGAGAACTAACTCCACAGAATTGTCTTTGACCTTCACACTCACACTATGGCATGCTTATCCACACACTGGTCATACATGCCTATGTGAATTCGCACACATACACACACCCCCTCACTGCCTAAATAAAAACTTTAAATAATAAGGAAACTTGGTCAAATCCAAGATTAAATGCAGAGTTTCCAGGTCATACAATAAAAAATACAGGTTGTCCTATTTGACTTTCAGATGAGTGACCCCTAACTACTTAGTGTTACGTTTATCGCAGTTACAGTCCTTTATTTTTAGATGGCAGCCAGGGCCTTCAGGGGTGGGTGGGCATAGCTGTCCTTTGGCACTCAGGAATCTTGGGTTCCCAGGACTGCCTCTGTTCCTTGCTGCCCCTCCAGCCTTTCTGAGCAGCCTTCCTTGTGTTTGGGAAACTGACCGACAGTACAAGAACTCCTTGGACGAGAACGGCAGCTCCAGTCCATAGTGCTGGACTGAATTGCCTCTGAAGGGAGCTGTCGTCAGTACTCGGGTGGCTTTCAGGTGCCACTGTCGGTGTGTCAGTAAACAACTACCCCTGCTAGTACTTGAGATTAGCATCTATGGCTCTAATACCATTGCTTGTGTGAGGCTAAAATAGCAAAGGTTGGGCAGGAGTGTTATAAGTTTATGGCCAGCTAGTCTACATGATAAATAAGACTCTGTGTGCCTGTGTGCGTGTGTTTATGATAAGTCAATTTTAAGAAAAAAAAAATGTGGTTCAAATAAGACTGCCAGAACAGGAGTGTGGCCCAAATGGAGGCAGCAGGGCCCCAGCACAGCGAGCTCGAGGGTAACACGCTACTTTCTTGCAGGTCCACGGCTGGGGAAGGACCTCACCAACTGCCTGCATCTGGTCAAGAAAGAAAGTGAAAAAGGGAAAGGCGGGAGAAGGCACCAGTGGCGGCAGCAACTGCTTGTTCTGCATGAGCCTTTCTCAAGGGAGTCTGGAGGCTCATCCCCTCTCAGAGGTCGGGAAACCGGAGGCCGGTGCTGTGGCCGAGGTCAGCCCCGAGAAGAGCTGCAGCCCCGAGAAGTGCGGCGGCCCCGAGAAGAGCTGCAACAGCCCCTCCCAGGGCCCCAGCACCGCTTCCAGAGAGCCTAACAAACTGTGCTTTCCCACGTACTTGCATGGAGAAAAAAAAAGCCTGCAAATCAAGGAATTTATCTGGTGCATGGAAGATTGGGGCATTCCTGAGGCAGTTAGCAGCAAGACCTGCAGAAACCCCTGCGGAAGCACTGACCGGGGCCTCTCCATCTCCGACTCCCTCAATTCCAAGGCCCTCATGGTTCTGCCCCCACTGAAAAACTCTCCCCCCAGCAGCTTGGATGTCCTGAGTAAGAAGAGCAGGAATATTTTCTGGCAGCCGGAAGAAAAGGCGCTAAGGACGGAAAAGGAGGAGTGTGTGGCTTGTCCAGATGGATTGAAGACAGTTGATGGGAAAAGTGAAAAGAGACACTTTGAGCTGGCCAGCCACATGAAGGTCACCGACATGCTGCCTTTCTCTCCCTCTGGGGCCCAGACACACCTGCTGGGAGCAGAGTCTCCAAGGTGCTGCCTGCACTGGTCCCTCCTGCCCCAGAAGAGCTCTATGTACCCATCCAGCCCCACCAACATCCACTATCTTGCCACCTTGCAGGTGTTGCATAAGCAGGGCGTGCAGAACTGCAGGGCCAGGCTCAAAGGCAAGGACCCCAAACCTGCCAGGAGCACCCACAAGCACCTCCTCCCAGAGGCCAAGCAGGAAAACAGGCCTCGAGCGCTAGAGAAGAAAATGTTCCCCAAACCTCTCCTGCCGTCCCTCACAGTGAGCAGAGTTGTCATCCCTGTCTCTACTCACAGAGTCCTCTGATTTGTCACAATATAATTTCCTGGGAATAAGTGCCGCCCGGAGCTCGTTTGTCTCCCCACGTCCCCTCTCGCTCCCTCTCCTCATGTCCACCCTTCGGTCGCTCTTCCTCTCTCCTCCCTCTCGCTCTCTCCACTCCTCACCCATTCGGTTTTGGTTTTTTTTAAATCGTAGAACCAGGGGAAATTGAGCAGATTTGAATGGGTTTGGCTTCATTGTTTCTCAAAAACACCCTGTTGGGCTAGGTGACATACATCTATAATCCTAGCATTTGGAAGACTGAGGCAGGAAGATGCCAGAGTTCAAGGCCAGCCTGGGCCATACAACAAGACACTTTTTTAAAAAAAAACAAAAAACAAAAACCTAACCAATTAAAAATAAAAGAACCCTCTGTATTCATGTTACCTGCTTTTGCTGCTAAGCCATTTACAAAATTAGGTTGGGCCAGCCTGTGCTGGCCTTCTCCTTGTCTGGTGGCTCCCATGGTGGGAGGTGGAGGGTTAGGTTAGAAAGGTGCTCTGTGCTGCCTCTACTCTAGTGGTCCAGGAGCCACCTGTCAGGGCTTCTACCCACAGCAGTGCCTTGAGCTTCCAGAGGCGCTGGCTTGGCTTGTCTTCTGAAGCAGGCAGCTCCTGCCGCCTATTTCTTTGAACAAAGATCTAAGCTACTTGATGAATGGAAAATCCCAGCTGTATCCAAGTGGATACACCAGTGTCCAAGGTGCCGTATCTTTGTATTACGTTCAGGGACATATATTCTCCAGTGCCTCAGCTGCCTAGGAAGTCACATCCTCATACTGCAGCCTCAGGCTAATCTCTGTGCCTGGAAGACTTAGTCACAGATGAATAAAATCCAGCCTGGGAAGCAGGTTAGGAATAACTGGTTGTTTGGGGGAGAAAAGCTCACTGATCATTGTGAGCTGGCCTGACCTGCCTTCTCCAGCCGTTAACTTGCCTCTCCTATGTGGAAACCCTCGGCTTTTGGACAGTTAGAGAATGAGCTGTTACTTTCTCCCTTCCGTCTTCTCTCTGCCCTCATTTATTTTCACTGGTGCATAGCTCCCTAAGTTGTATATTAAATGTAAATAAATCATTTTAATGCCAAGTGGTACTGCTATGTGGACAGATGCTCTGACCATTTTGTGATAGCGGTAATCATTAAACTGCTTTGTAATCACATAGTTTGAATTGCTTAGAAGAGGCTAGACTTGAACTCTTAGATTTTTCCATCTCCTCAATGATGACAGAATAGGACTCTAGACATCTGCTTTACAGAATTGGTCTCTAACGTCTTGTCTGTTACCTAGGTTTTGTTCTATTTTGTTTTCATAGTTTCTGGTGTTTTGGTTTCATCTAACTCACACTGGCCTTGAGGTAGCTTTGAACTGATCTTCCTGCCATAGCCTTCCAAGTGCTTAGACTACAGGCATGTGCCACAATGCCTAGCCTTTTTGAAAAACAAAAACCGTAACGCTAGCCAGGAATGGTAGTATGGGCCTGCAGTCCCAACACCCAGAAAGCCAAAACAGAGCCAAAGAAGCTAGGAAGGAAAGGAAAGGCCACAGCACAGGGTCAGGAAGATAATGATTGCGCTAACTGGTGGATACTTGGCAGTCTAGAAGGAATTGTTAGAGATTCCCCGCCCCCCCTTCCTTCTCCAAATAAAGAAGCCACCTGATCTGTCCCAAAGAGAAATTGGGTATCTCAGTTCCTGGGCATTGTGGCATAGGACCCAGGCCCCTGGGCCTGCCCACCTGAGCCAGGGGTATCGCCCCAGCCCGCTTTTTAAAGCAGCAGAAGCATGAGTAAACTCTAATGTAAAACAAGAAAAAAGCATGTACTGGGAGAGCACCACCAGTAATGGGTGGCCAGGCCTTCCCTGCTTGGCCCAAGTCCTTCCCTTTGAGTGTTTAAGACAGTTTTAAAAGACTGAGTCACAATGTAAAAATGTTTTAAAAGTTAGATTTATTTTATGTATATGAATGCTTTACCTACATGTATGTCTGCATGCCATGTGTGTGTCTGGTGTCCACACAAGTCAGAAAAGGGTTCGGATCCCCTGGAACCTGAGTTAGAGGGTTGTGAGCCATTGTGTGGGTGCTGGAAATCAAACTTGGGTCCTCTGTAAGAGCAGCCAGTGCTCTTTACTACTGGACCATTTCTCCAGCTCACACAATGTAAGTTGTTAAGTTGGCATGCAACGTAATGGGTTTCATTATGACATTCGTGCATGGGGTAATTTTTGTTTTTATTTTTGTTTTTCGAGACAGCATTTCTCTGTGTAGCTCTGGCTGTCCTGGAACTCACACTGTAGACCAGGCTGGCCTCGAACTCACAGAGATCCTCCTGCCTCTGCCTCCCTGAGTGCTGGGATTAAAGGCATGCGCCACCACCGCCTGGTGGGGTAATTTTTGAAAAAAAGTCTTTGGGGATGGGGACTGGTGAGATGGCTCAGCAGGTAAAGGCACTTGCCACTAAGCCTGATGACCTGAGTTCAAACCCCGGTCCCCACATGAATGATAAACAAGTGCAGGGGTATTTCCATGTACATATACAATAATTAAATGTTTTTGAAAATTAGAAAGTGTTTTGTTCAGATAAGAGTTAAGTTCTGAGGGACAAGTTAGAATAAATTGTTCATAAAATACCATTATAGGGGGGCCGGCGCGCGGGGTGAGCGGCCGGCCGCCCCCGGGCCGTGCGCGCCACTTCCGACCGCCACTTCCGACGCAGCGTTCGCTTGGAGGTGCCGGGGCGCGCCGCGGCGTCCGCTGGCGGAGGCGGCGGCGGCGGCCTGGGACTCGGGCGGGATGGAGGAGGCCGCCCTCGGAGATGCCGAACTCAACTGGTCCCGCCTCAGCGTCTCGGCCGAGGCGCTGGAGTCGGAACTGGAGGCGCGCGCCGAGGAGCGGCGGGGCTCGCGGGAGGCGCTGCTGCGCCTGCTGCTGCCCTACAACCGGCTGACGTCGCTGCCGCGGGCGCTGGGCAGGGGCTTCCCGCACCTCCAGCTCCTGGACGTCAGCGGGAACGCGCTCACGGCGCTGGGGCCCGAGCTGCTGACGGTGAGCGGCCTGCGCACGCTGCTGGCCAGGAACAACCGACTCGGCGGCCCGGGCTCGCTGCCCAAGGGCCTGGCCCAGTCGCCGCTCTGCCGCAGCCTCCAGGTGCTCAACCTCAGCGGCAACTGCTTCCAGGAGGTGCCCCCCTCGCTGCTGGAGCTGCGGGCGCTGCAGACCCTCAGCCTGGGCGGCAACCAGCTGCAGAGCATCCCCGCCGAGATCGAGAACTTGCAGAGTTTAGAATGTTTATACCTTGGAGGAAACTTCATTAAAGAAATCCCACCAGAATTAGCAAATCTACCTTCTCTGAATTACTTGGTGTTGTGTGACAACAAAATCCAAAGTGTGACTCCTCAGCTTTCACAGCGTCTATTTTGACTGCTGTGTCAGGCAGATTAAGTTTGTGGACTTCTGTGGGAAGTATCGCCTCCCCCTGATGCACTACTTGTGTTCTCCAGAATGCTCTTCCCCCTGTACTTCTGCATCCCACAGCTCCACATCCCAGAGTGAGTCCGACTCGGAAGATGAAGCCAGTGTTGCTGCACACAGAATGCAGAAAGTTCTTCTGGGTTGAGCGGCAGTGGGTCTTGAGAAATACTAAACACTACACAAAGATACTTAAAAAGAAAATGGAGCTTGAAGTTGATTGGAAACCTTAGTGTTTTCATCTTGAATATCCATGTAAGAGTTGCAGTGATGTAAAAGGTTTTGCATTCCATCTATCTGTTCAGCAAGATTGAGTCCAGTTCCACGTTTAGATTCTTTGAGTGTAATTTATTCTAAATGGCAGTTCTCAATTCAGTTCAGCTGGTTGGTCACAATTTTCACTGAAGTCTTTGATGAAACACTAGCAGAATGGTACACCTTGAAGAGCAGTCATCATCAGCCTGGAGTGGTGTCACTTGGGGCAGTTGGGTTGACTAAAGTAAGACTTGATGACAGTTGTACTTACCAGAGTTGTCCTGGTTTGTGTTGAACACTCTGCCATGATAGACTGGGCCTTCCCCTGTGTCACCCCTGACTTGAGCCTTTCTGACCAACTAACTGGTACAGTAAGGACTATCACTTTCCAATGGACTGTTTAAATCTTAGCTCTTGTTTGGTGTGATTGTTACTAACCTTATGCAGTCTAGCTGTGATGTAATGTGTTACAGTGCCTTAAGCCTAGCAAGGATGTGGAAGCTTAGTCTAGAAATGACTTTAGAGCAGCCTACAACCTGACACTATGCAAACAAAACACTTGGAAATATGCTTTCACAGACTAAGTAAACCCTATAGATAGTCCCTGAGTCCTGCAGGCCTGGGACTTGTGATGTAGAATGGGCTGGCCGGGAACTCCGAGATCTACTTGCCTCCACCTCCTGGTGCTGGCATTAAAGTGTTGGCCACCACCTGCTTCCATGGCTATCTTAACTTCATTTTGTTAACTGTAGTGATCTTGTATAAGCAAGGCTATACAGTCAGATCCATCTATTCGCCAAAAGATAGAATCATCGTTCTTGACAGAAAAATCTAGACGACAAGTAATCTGAGAAAAGCTGCTTTATAATAATGGACTAAATGAGGAAAAGTTGGACATGGTTGTGCACACCTCCACACCAGCACTTGGGAGGTAGAAGCAGAAGGTCAGGAGTTCAAAGTTAGCCTAGGCGCCATAGTGAAGTTGAGGCCAGCCTGGGCTATATACATGAAAACTTGTCTCATAGTGGGGGTGGGTTAGGGTGGGGTGGGTTTTAACTGTCAAATGTGTCATCTTTGCTTGTTGTATACTAAACCAAAACTGTCTCTGCATTTGAAAGACAAACGACAACTAGATAGCATGACAGTTGAAGGGAGTCAGAAGTAGAGCTCATGATGGTCATCCACAATAGACTAGTTCACAAAGTTGGTATAACCATTGAACATGGAGAAAGAGGTTATCGAGAAAACAGAAAAGAAAACACTAATGAAACTGGCATCCTTAAGGTGTGGGAGAAAAATAGTAACAAATTATTATCATTGAACATTAACAAATTTTACTAACTAGTTGATTATGCGATAAAAGCTAATATTAAAATTCTAAATTGACACTAGAAAATCTTTAACTCTCACTACTGATGATTAAGTAAGCAACCTGTAATAGCGTGAAGGCTGCTTGGTAAGTGCTAAAGGTAGTTTCAGATTGCATTAGGGTGTCAGGTGATCTCTTCAAGAGTGCTTTGTTAGAGGCCAACTGTGTGCTGAGAATGTTCGCATGTTAGGTTTCCTGTATATATCATTTTTATTTTAGTAGATTATTTTAGTAAACTATATTAGTAGATTATAGGGTAATTCAGGGTTTGTGTGTGTTTGTGTTACGTCATGAAACACGAGAGTTTCGTGGCTGCA